TCTCATTTACTCTGAAAAAATATTAAGTTAGTATACTAGTTTACATATATATTTCACCCGAGGTATCGATAACAACCGTTGATGTCTTGCGACTTGAAATCGCAGTTCCCTTGACAAATGGAATACTTTGTAGTTGCTTTTGTCAACAACATCGCTGTAAATATTGGCACCATTGAGAGCTGCAAGGCCCTCGTGATGAGCGGGTACTGAAATAACAATATTTGTAAAATCCGTCCATGGCAGTTAATTGTCCAGTGGCGTGCCAAAAGGTACGGACAGGACAAATCAGGATATGAAATTTATTGTTTCCTGGCCAAATGTTATTTGACCACCGAGGAATAGAGTTTGTTGCTAATAAGAACAGCAATATGTCCAGCAGGAGTATAACTATTGGCTGAGATCAATAAATCTTTACAAAAAAATAAGAGTGTATCAATAACTATTGCGGACCACAACTTTCAATGTTTTTTGCAAAGCTTAGCAAATAAACGGATCCATATAAAAAGATTGTGAAATTTTACACAAACTTGTAAACAATAACAATTAACGACGCGAAAAAAGGATCCTATTATATAAATTTAGTTATTACTTCTGTCATAGAATGGCGGATTTTCGGTTGTTAGCTCAGACATTATTATACCAAAGCTATAAATGTCAGCCGCCGCGGTATACAATTTTTTTGTTAAAACTTCTGGAGCTATATATGGCATCACACCAATAACTTCACTAACATCAGAACCAATAGGAATAGATAATTCAAAATCCGAAATATACGCACTTAATACTGATACACTCAATTCATCCTGGTCGATCAGGATGTTTCCAGAATGTAAATCTCGGTGAATATAGCCAGCTTTCAAATGAATTTGATTCAGGCCCAGAATAATCCCTTCTAATATTTTTAATTTTTGCCACCATCCGATAAGAGCCCTTTGATTAATAAAAGAACGTAAGTCACCATAACTTGCATTCTTTAAAACTAACCCATAATTATGAGTTGGATTAAATGTGACCCCATAGCACCGAATAGCTTTATCGCAATATAAATGCAATTTAACCTAAATTTTCAAAATTTAGTGTTTTAAAAAATCAATTTAACAAAATTATAATAAATTAAATTTACTTCTTTCATCAATGTAGAAATATCTGAATCATAAGCTTTTAGACACTTTACAACCACTTTAGTATTGGATGCACTTTCCCATCGACTCGATTCTTCACCCATTCTTCACATGGTCCAACACGCCATATTGCTGAAATAACCGCGAAAAACTCTTCCTTAATTATTTTAAAATCTTCAAATTGATGGTATTTTATCCATCTAATATAATTAGACACGTTTATCGCTTTAAGTTGTGATTCTTTTATTAATTCATCAAGCTGTTGATTACCACTTGTCCACTTGTCGAAGCTTTCACGAAAGTTTTCAGATTCACATTCATTGCACCATTCAACATCAGTGAACTTGTGTCCATATTTGCATGTACCATAGTCAGGGGGCGTTTCGTTGTTCGACTTTAAAGGGACAGCAAGATTTTCATCAAAAATTAATGTCGGATTACACCCTGTGCCTGTAACATGTAAATTCATTATAAGTGTATTAATTATAGAATAAATTATAGAAATTTAATTCGAGAGTTTCTTACTTATAGATGAAAGAAGAGCGTTTAAACTTCTACTGTTTTCTGGTAATTGTGATTGTGGATTATATAACGGCTCTAAGCGTATCGTGCTAAGACGAACACAATTTCGCTAATGTTTGGTCTCAAATCTGATTCTGTCTCCCAACATCTTTTATATAGCTCTATATATTTGACAGGAGTATTAGAAATTGGGGCTTCCTGAGCACCTTGCAAAATACATGTGTAAACTGCAGTTTGATCGCAAATGCCAGCGAATGGCGAACGACAGCTAGATATCTCCCACAATAGTACACCGATGCTGTAAACATCTGACCGTTTGTCTTTCTTATATCCATAATTGGCAATAGCTATCGGTTCTATGTACGGCAATATGCCGAGAAGAGGTGATTGTGTGGTAAGTGTGCTATTAAGATTTTTTGATAAACCAAAATCTGCAATTTTAATTTGCCTCTGATGAATCAAAATGTTATTGTCGTGCTAAAAACATTAAATATGAACAAATTTTAAGACACTGCATGATTTAATGAATATAAGAATAAAAGAAACATACAAGATCACGATGTATTATATTTTTGGCATGAATATAAGCCACTCCTTCGGCTAACTGTCGGCCAAGCGAGAGCTTCTCAGCCCACTGTAAATTGTCTCTTTCTTTAATTAGAAATTGTTGCAAACTGCCACTATCAGCATATTCCATCACAATTAAGTAACTTTCATCATTTGGGTCTGGAATATGTTTTATTAATGAAAAAATAAGTACTTTAAACTATTAGAAGCTTTTAAATAACATGCCAACCTTTGCTAATGCCAAGAAAATTGATTATCCTGTTGTTATCACCAAGTTTTATATGTAATTTTAGCTAGAATAGAAATTAGAAAATTTTATCTGATAACCTTCCGCCTACAAGAAATTATTATTTTTAAAGCATACCTCTTTAATAAAAGCATCAAAGACGTCTTGTTTCTCGAGATATTATTGAAAAACCTTTTTTACTGCAACAGTAGTTTTAAAAGATACATAGTTCGCCGAGTAGACTTCTCCAAAAGCACCACGATCTATAAAAACGAACTCTTTTAGGTCATTGTATCGGATTTCATTAAATTCTTCCCCGCTAACAGCTGCATTAAACCATTCTTTAAGTGATGCCATTTAATATCCAAAAAAGTCTGCAGGATACTAAAATATGTTCAAGATTTTCTGGTTATTTGTGTAATTTTCCCATGCACAAAGGTAACAAAAAAAACCAATAAGTATAACGATATTTTGGAACTCTCATAGCATAAACTCGATCCAATGCAAAATTTTAAAGAATTTTTTAAGTTCAGCCCGAAAAATACCAATTCTCGCCCAAATGAACAAAATGGTAATAAATTATTTGTACGTAAAAAAATGCCAAAAAAATAAAATTAACCTAATATAGTTCCTTAACTCGATTCCACATATAGAAAGTAATGAGATATACGGAGGAGACTTCGTCGAAAGATACGAATCTAAGGAAGAATGCCTGGACCTTAATACACCTTCTACAGAAAATGCAACGTCGATTTCTACGCATAATAAAGACCTCAATGATAATGTAAACGAATCAAAAAAGCAAATAGATCAACATAAAAATAATGCAATGTTAAAGGAAAATTCAATTTTACCAAAGAATATGTATGATCAAACTTTCCTGAAGAGCTATCTAGATTTAAAAGAAGAGTTAAAGTCATCTCGCGAACAACTACAAAACCATAAACGAAAACTCGAAACAAAAGATGACGAAATATCAAATTTTAGTAAAAACCTCGAAACAAGAAACAATGAAATATCAAATCTTCATAAAACTATC